ACCTACGAGTACAACAACTTCGAGTACGGCAACTACGAGCACAACTACGAGCAGAACAACCACGAGTACGGCAACTACGAGCACAACAGCTACGAGCAGAACAACGACTAGTACGGCAACTACGAGCGCGACAACGACGGCGAATCCAACGACGAACATGCCAGCGAGCACAACAACGAGCAACACTTGACATAGAGGAAAGATGGAAGTACGTACTGACGATACGAAGCAATAAGAGAGCTCAAGTAGATCGAGCATAGACCAGGAATGACGAGATTAGTTAAGAGTGCACGTACATCATCCGAAGGTCAAGAATGTGTAGAATGCTGTCCTTCGTGGCGAGCTGTTCGCGCGCGTATGCACGAATCTCGCTCGCCCATTATTCGTTGCATGAAACGGCTCGCAGCCCTCAGGCTGAAATGGATAAGATAAGAAGCCTTATTACCTATTATGGCTATCCCAAGTGTTGTTGAGTCAACCAGTGCGGGTGTTACTACTAACATGGTGGAGAACCCGCTGGCTGAGCTCCTTGAAGTCCTCGGTATTGCTGAACCCTCACTACTACTATGGTTATCTGCCGCTGAGTTAGAGACTGCCATGGAAGGCCAACCTCTTAGTAAGAAGGTCTATCTACGACGTACCTTCTTCACCTATATAGACGCCGAAGGCCCTAACTCTCAAGCTGCAAGCCTCTCTCGAAGGCCAGCAAACACAGTACATCCACAGCAGGTTACATCTTCTGCTGCCACTGTGCAGGTCTACCCTCAAGGAGTGCCCCAGGCCCCTCTCATGCAAGGTCAACAACACCCTTGTAACAACGACATCACCAACGTGGCGTATTGGTGTGATCTATCCCACAACTATGATAAGGAGAAGGCGCTTGATACAACGAAGGCCATCAATGCTGTTTCCCATATCAAGTGCCCCGACAACAAACAGTACAAGGGAAACTCTGATAACAGGAGTATCAACTACTTCCTAAGTCTTGTCCGCTGTGAAG